GTTCCTGAGCGTAATCAGTTTCTTTTTCTGAGGAAAAGCTTTACTTTCTTTTGTTTTTATAGGGAATTAATAATAAATTAGAAAGGTAATCAATGCTTTCAATTTAAATTCGAAACTTTCTGTTTTGCTTATGCACAGTTGTTTTCCAAATGTGAAAAGAAACGCATAAATGCATTTCTTATCAATTCTTGTTCTGTAGAATACCGTGCACATTTGAGAAGATAGCATTTTAATTTAACTTTAAATTTCATCTGCATTATTGAAAGTGTGTAAGAATTCATGTTGATTAATATAAAATTTTTTAAAAAACATGTAGACTATGAATGTGAGTACTTGTTGCATCTATTTATCGTATGTACATTATGAATTATGAAAAAATATTCATAATAATGTAACTATTATATAATGAGAAAAAATGGTATATTTATGCATACTAACTGTAATAAAATGTATTTAAAATTCTTTTATCTTTTTAATTTGCTTCTTTTATTTTCTTCATAGTTATTGTATTTATTTTTCGTAAAATACTACGTGTTATTTATTGTATGGATGTATCGAGATGCACTTCCTACAAATGCGTAATTTGTATGCTTTTACTGCTTTACAAGTCCATATAGTACGTATGCCCTGTTGTTTATTATTCTTTAATCGCTTTTCCATAAAAATGGAAAGAATAAATATAAAAGTAAACATAAAAATGGAAGAAATAATGTATTTTAAAACGTATAAGTCTTGAATTTCATAATGAAATATCTAAATTAAAAGTAATTAATTAATGATTTGTAAAATACCATGAGACTGAATTGTGATTTCATGTCTACATTTTTCAAAAATGGTACAAAGATAATTGTGAGAATTAATGAAGTTTCATGTAATTTTCTGCATTTGAAATAAGCTCAGAGTGATCAATAATTTGAAATTCTGTTAAATACTTAAATTTATTTTAAAATGCATCGTGAATTGATGATTGAAGACTTGCAAAACTGTCTTGTGTTAAAACTGTGTTGTATTTACTTGTGTTATATATGTATTGAGTGTATAAATCCTTATTTGTAATTTAAGTATTATTTCAAATAAGGTAAGCAGTAAATTGTTTGAGAAATGTGCTTTTGCATATGTTAATAAAATAACTGGCCCATTTTCAAATTTTGCTTACGTATGCTGTCCCAGAAGAAAAGAACGAAAATTCAAGATAAATTATGTTTAAAGTTTAATTTGAGCAATGCATTGCATAAAGATGACTATAAAAAAATTTCTACAATTCAAAATGTAACAAATCAATTGAAATTTTTAAGATATAAATCTTAAAATGTGTGATCGTAGGCAAAATGTCTGTCCCTTTCAACTATCTCTTTATTTTGTAACCTAATTAATTTTTTAAAATAAAGTTTAGTTATTATAAATATGAGCTATTCATGTGTTATATTCATGACAGAAATTAATTACAGAAGTTTTTTTCTTAAATCAATAGACAAATAACTTGTCGTCTATTTCATGTCAAGTCCGTTACCTTGAGATAATTTTACCCAAAATTGGTTTGTAAATCTGTCTAAAAGGGGCAGTACATATTCAATGATATAGATAAACTACTCAAGCTAAGTCTTGACTACTTTGAATATGTATGTCTCCCCTTTAGGCAGATTTACAAACTAATTGGGGATAAAATAATCTCAAGGCATGAATGAAGTGATGAAGTGGAAGACAAATTATTTTTTATTGATTTGAATTTTTTTTAATATTTTAAATTGTAGAAGTATATTTATAGTCATTTTATGCAATGCATTGCTCAAATTAAACTTTAACCTTTTGAAGACGGGATGGCCATTATAGTGGCCATAGAAACCTCTGTTTGAAAGGACGGGGTTGTCCACTTTAGTGGCCATGGCTTTTTCCCCCATTTTCCAGGCTGAAAGAGTGGGGGGAAATGTGAAATTTTACATCCCTGGGGTTATAACCACTTATCTCTTTCAAAGGTTTTTGTGTTAAGAATCTGGTTTTTCCCAATTTTTTTCCTTTTAGTTCTTGTAGCTACATAGCTACAGAATTCACGATAACTGCGTTTGTAAATTGTAAATAGAACCTTGCGTTGCTTTAGAATATTGTATATTTTCGTAAGTTTTTTAGGAATTATTTTCGCATTTTTCTAGCAATATGCCCAAAAAGGAAAAGAGATCTGACTGAAGAAGAAATACGAAAACTTCTTCAAGAGCTTGATGATGAATATACAACTATTCTGTAGTTGAACATGGATGCAGCAACCCCTACTACACATAATCTAAAGATTGGCGTGGGTACATGTACGTGTCTGTAGACGGAGGCCCCAGGAATTGACCATGCCCGGTAATGTGCAAGCTGCACTACCAGATAAGAGGCGGCGCACCATTTAGACGTGAGGGTACCACGCTGTGTCTCGAAAGGGGGGAAAGGATGATTGAACATCCGAGGCGAACTAGCGGGCGACCCGCAATTACAGACAGGAATGGGGGGGGGGGGGAAGCTAGAGTTTCGAGCCGATTCCCGAATAAGTCGAGGGGGGGGGACAACGGTAAAAAAGTCGAAAGCACAAAAAGCCATGAGGAGAATGACAGGAATAGTCGGTAGCATGGGTATGATGGCAGGGGGGGTGCCATTCGGAGAAGTGTACATGGATTTGGTGTGACTGCAGCGTTGGCTGATGGATCGCACGAGGGATGGCCTGGGGTAAGCTTGAATGTCACTAAAATGGCCAATAATTGTTCCTTATAAGGGGAGGAAGCTTGCAGGGGGGCCCCTCTTATGTGAACTGGCATATAAAAAACCAACACAATCAGGAAGCCCTAAAAACTTGCGGGCGATCGGGGAACGGGGACGGAAATTTTTGCGCCCTTACAAAAAATGGCTCGGTAGGAACTGAAGGACCCGGTAGAGGCGAAGTTGGTTTTTACCCAAGGGGGGGGGGAGTGAGGGAGCCGGAGTAGTTGATGGGGAGGAAACCCGACTGACGAAGCGGCGCATAGGCGGGAAGGTAGCGGGGATTTTTGAAAATGGGGGGGGGGGGGGGGGTGGATGCTTTAGATGTAAGGGGCCACTGAGTAAGAATGGATGTGTCTGACATGGGGCAAGGGAAAAAGTTAAGTGACTAGTGGAAGGAAGGTCTTAGTAGCTTTGAAGTGCCTGTAGCGATCGAACGAAAAACCGTGAGTCGGCTTCGACGTAAAACTGGTAGATAGATTTGAATGGTTTGGAGAGAAGGCAGAGGTCACGTATGACATTCGACAGAAAGAGACGGGTTGAAATGTGCATGGGAGGTGATTGTATTTTGAATGGGACGGGCTCGGGTGTACAACACACGCAAAATCGTCTATGAATGTTGCGGGTGGAGTGAAATGGGAACGCGGAACGGGGGGGGGATTGATGTGGGGGTTAAAGTGTTTTTTGTGGCGAGGGTTAGATTTGGGCGCCGGTGACTGGTGGAAGATATAAGCGTGTTCAGACAAAGAAAGCAGGGCCAAGGCAGGGGGGAAGTGGATTTTTTTTGAAGGAAAAGGGCCACGGACAGGGAAAATTAAAGAGTGCACAATGCCAGGGGGGGCAGCGGGGGGGGGTTTGAGGGGAAGGAGGCGCGTGCATGGAGAAAGCAAAGGAGGACAATGCCGGGGGGGGCAGTTTGGGAGGGGGGTGAACGTGCATAATCGAGGGTCATGGATACCGAGTGTGCATGGTTGTCTTGTTATTGGCTTGGTAGCGGCGATTTTGGGTGCAAATTCGCCGCTTCGTAGCCAAAATAACGCGTCAAAGAATTGCCAAAACCGGAGCAGTCCGCCAAAGCCAAGGTCGCCACGGGGACCTAACATACGGTACATGCTCTGGTTTTGTTACAATCATTTAATACTCCATCTTCATCTATTGGACAGTTGTTTTGCCATTTTCTTTGATAATGTTTCTGATACAGAATGGCAGCGTGTCCTGCGGGACAATAGCTTTGGGAGAATACGATGCCCATCGTTTTTTTTGCTTTTAAGGAATCACGTTTACTTTTGTTCAGGGACACCGAGCATTTAATGATTTTGCAACTGTCCGTGACTGGGATTTCTTTATTATTAAAACGTACCTTTGCAGAGTCGAGATCCATTTTTTCTTGAATCCTGGTTTGAATTTTTTCCCACTTGGGCTCCAATTTGACTTTTTTCCTTCCTGTTGATGAGATTACCTATCAACGCTTAGATATCACAAAAGCCATGACTCTCAGCGTTTTTGGATAACGGAGGCATATTTCTCTTCGGAAAGAGCGAAATGTAGCCTTCGAACCACCGCTTTTTATTCGCCATTTTGAATAAAAACAAAACTTCAAGTCACAGACATAATTTTGACTTTTAAAAACATAGTACAACTGCAATTACTTCTTTGTCAGCAAACGATTTTTATTACCCGCAAATCGTCTAAAAAATGTGTGAACAGCCTCTGTATCAATGCAGACTACATACTACATGGATATGTAGGTATACATTTCCATAAACAAATATAAATTCCCATGTACTTGTATACATGTACTTGCATAACCAGGCGGAAGGGCTGCGCCCGTATAAAACAAAACAAAACATGTACTTGCATTCTTATGAGTTCATTCTTAACAGTTCTGTCTGTTTTTATTTCCATGTATATCTGTTTATGCTGTCTGTTTTTATTTCCATGTATATCTGTTTATGCTGAAGTGACCTTCACACATGGAAGTTTACTGTGATTATACTGTTATTCAAACAAATCACAAGAACATAAATATAAATTTTGGGTCAAAGAAACAACAGTAGTTTTACAATTTCAATCTGAAACCTGAAAATACAGTAAAACTAGTCAATCAGTTTGAAAGGTCATCTCATGCCATTAGATTCCAGATTTACTGATGTACTGTTATTTTAAAAGGTACCTCCGCATCAGTGTCTCAATTTCAGGGTCAAATAATTTTGAAGTAAGATGTTCAGAATGGATTATAGTAGCATTTGTGAAATTTCACTGTCTGTTGAGCTCCGAGAATAAAAACAGGATGTAAAAGCTTTTAAATAATGTACAAATCACTGTTGTAAGACAACACATGTTCCCCATCTGAAT